GTGTTGGGGCCTTTGGGTACCTCTTGGCCTCTTGGGGGCCGCTTGGGGCCTTTGGGGGGCATCTTGTGGGCCTCTTGGGGCCTCTTGGGCGCCTCTTGGGGGCTTCTTGGAGCCTCTTGGGGCGGAAGGCTCGGATTTTCGGTTCATGTTCCCTTTCTTGGGCACCTTGTGGGGTCGTCTTGAGACTCTCTTGAGCCGTCTTGGGCGCCTCTTCTGCCGTCTTTGGGCCGTCCTAGTGGCCGCTTAGGCCGTCTTGGAGCGTCGGAACCTGGAACGGGCGAGATCGCCAAAATCCTGCAGCAACCGTCTGAACATCTGTGATGTTTACCTCTTGGGGCCTTCTTGTGGCGTCTTCGAGACCTCTAAGGCCATCTGGAGGCCATATTGGGAGCTTGGAGCAATCTTGGGGCGATTTGGGGCCCTCTTTGATATTTTGTGGGGCCTCTGAAAGCCATCTGGGCTCGTTTTGGGGGCGTCCTGGGCGGGGTAGACCGACGCGACCTCTTCCGGCGGACCTCGGGGAAGTTCTGGGAACGATGCTGACATTTCGGCTGCAGCAGCAGCACGGCCCTCCCAGTGCTGCATGAGCCTTGGGGCACTCCGCTTTGTGCCAGAGGCACGGTTTCGGATCTCTAAGAAGCTGTATACGTATGTATGTACATTCATACATGTGTATATATTTTATATCAGCTGTATGCACTATATATATATATATATATAGAGGAGCAGCGATGTTATACAATGGCTGATGAGGCCAGATCGGTGGCGATTTGAACTATTCGCAGTCAGAGCGCGTCGACTACATCCACAGGCGATCTGGGAACGCATGTAAAAACGATCCTGGTGGGCTTGGGGGTGGGTTGTTCTCTCTTGATCCTGGGGGTCCTCTTGGAGGCTTCTTGGGCCGTCTTGGCGGCCTCTTGTGTGCCGTTTTGGGCCATGTTGGGGCCAATCTTGGACCGTCTCGGTGCCAGGTTTGTCGTCTCGCAGGCGTCCAGGAGGCCATCTTGGGAGTCTTGGAGGTCTCTTGGGCCGTCTTGGGCCATCTTTGCCGTCGCGGAGGCGTCTTGGAGGCCACCTTGATCGTCTTGCAGGTCTTTTGGGCCATCGTGGGCCGTCTTGTGGCCGTCTTGTGAGGCCTTTTGGGCCGTCTTGGAGGCCTCGTGGGCCATCTTGGGGATCGCTTGGGCCATGTTGGGCCGTCGGGAGCCCACAAAGGAGCAAACTCCCACATCTTTTTGAAATTTTGAAATCTGCAGGCCCTCCTAGGGGACCCGTTGCAGGCCACTTGGTCATTGGTGGGAGTCTCTTGGGGTGGCATCTTGGGCCGGCTTGGGCCATCTTGGCGTGATATTAGGCCTTTTTGGTACCATCTTGGCCGTCTCGGATGCCATCTTGGCCGTCTTGGAGGCCATGCTGGGCCCTCTGGCAGTCATCTTGGGCGGATCAGCCCACGGAGTACAGATTTTCCCCGTGGCTTAACCTAAAGGCCACTGGGACTGT